GTGGTGGACACCCTAGAGGCACGGTTGGAGAACGCGAGGAGGAAGCACGAGGCCAACGAGTATGGCGACTTGCCCTGGCCGGTCGTCGAGGCTGGACTCCGCTCCATGTGGGCGACGGAGCACCCGTCTCGACCTGCCTCTCCTCGTCCGGTGAACAACGAAGGCGGCGTCGACGTGGGCGTCAACGCCGGTGGTGGTCAAGTCGGCAGCAGTGCTGGAGGCACGTCGAGGCAACGAGGTGTGATACATGCCGGTGAAGTCGGCGGCGTTCAGGCGCGAGGGATGCAGTCGTCGGCGGCTGCAGGCTCTTCGCGGGGTGACATCGGAGGTCGACGGAGTGGGCTATCGCCGATGTCGGCGTCCCAGGTGACGGCAGGTGGGATTGCGCCGAGCTACGGCTACTTCAAGTTCACGCCGGACAGGATCTCAGTCACACCCCCACTGGTCGGTCGACCCGACATTCTCATCTGGAAGGAAGCTATCGAGCCCCAGCTGGAGATGGCCGGGCTGATCGGCTTCGCCCGAGGGACCGTGGCGACGCCGGGAGAGCACCACCCCGACCTGCGTGCGGAGTTTCGCGCCGTGCAGCTGTTGACCTTCACGGTCATCTCGCGGTGCTGCTCGCCGGGCGTGCAGATCGCCTTGAAGTGGTGCCGAGAGTACCTCGACGCCGGCCACCGGGCGTGGCACTTCATTGAGTCGACGTACCAGGTCACCGACGACCTGTTCATCGCCCAACTGGAGGGACAGCTGACACACCTGCGTATGGGCGACGAGGAGAATGCGACCGACTACTGCAACCGAGCCAGGCGAATTCTCGCCACCATCAGGATGGCCGGCGCGCAGTGCTCCACGGCGTCGTACATCACCCATGTCACGCAGGGACTGTCTAGCAGCTATAACCTCCTGAAGCGGCTGTCTATGGCGCCGAGCACGAGGGCGACGCTCAACGAGGACAACCTGACCTCGTACATCCTGCCGGACGAGGCGATGCAGGAGGCTGAGCGATCGCAGGAGCTCTTGGCGCAGGCCAACTTCGTCGCCCCTGCGAAGCAAGGAGGCCGACCAGGATAGCGCGGACAGTCTGGTGGCGGCGGGAGCAGTAGCTGGAAGTCGACCAAGGAGGTCGAGAAGAAGTCGTCCAAGGACGGCGGTCGAGGAGGAGGAGGTCGACGTCGGGAGTGCTGGATCTGCCACAGCCCCGATCACCTCTCCTTCGATTGTCCCGACCGCAGTGACTCCGACGACGACGACAAGGGCGGCCGCGGGAGGTCTGGCAGCCGTCGTCCTCGTCGTGGAGGAAATCATCCGCGCAAGGAGAAACAGTCGACCAAGGCATCGACTTCGGCGAAGGACGCCGACTCCGTTGCAGGCGGCAAGGGGCGAGACGACAAGATGGCGTCGTGCTCGCTGGTCGGCGTCGTGGAGCCGACCATCTCTCTGGCGCCGGAGGCCGGAGAGGACTTCCAGGCGGTGGCGGCGGCTGTGCAGGCGAACCCGGCGGTGGTCCTGCTCGACAGCGGTTGCTCCCACCACCTGATGGGAACGAAGGAAGCCTTCGTTGACCTGCAGCCGAGTGGCTCCATCAAGCACGTGCGCGGCTTCAATGGGGCGCTGCAGGACGTTCAGGGCAGTGGCACCGTCGCTCTGCGAGGAGAGGCCGAGAAGGAGGTGCTCATCCCCGACGTGTTGTACGTCCCAGGTGTGCGAGCCAACCTGCTGTCGGTCGGCCAGCTGAAGGAGCACGAAGTGAAGCTGCAGGAGGACGGAGACGGCATGCTGCTTGTCTCGGCAGCAGGGGAGGTGCTCGGGCGGGCGACGTACTCTGGGCGACCAGAGGGGACATCGACCTGAAGGAGGTCGACCGATGGTGTCGTCGACCTGGTGAGGTCGACGTGGAGGTGGTCGTCGACTTGGGAGGTCGACGGGCACGAACGGGAGCTGCTGGTCGACGCGGTTGCCCGGTCGACCAGGTTACCTGGGTGGCGAAGTGCTGCGGAGGATTACGACGGTCGCCCAGGCGAAGTTGGCGAGCCCGACCTCGGTGGTGGTATCCCGAGGTCGACGTGGCCGATCAGAGGCAGTCGTCAGCTCGAGGTTGACGTTGTGTTGTGCGCTGTGTAGGTGACGAGACTCTGCACGCAACTGCGAAGCAGGGTGCACTGCTGTCCTGCGTGAGCAGCGCTGTCACGCCGTCAACCTGTGACGTTGGCACGCCGTCGACCTTGCCTTGCTGGAGCGCGGTCGACCAAGTCGTGCTGGAGCACGGTCGACCAAGCTGCGTTGGCAGTTGGCCGACCTGAATGCTTGCTCTGATGTAGTCTTGCTGTGCCAACTTCATTGTACCAATTGTTCTGAACTTTTCCTAGTGGAACTCTTGCCAACTTTCCCCGTGAACTAGCAAGTAGTGTGCGCACAAGGAAAACGACTAAGGAACAGAGAACGCAGAGATCACACGAGCACACGTGCCTAGCCCGTAGTCTAACTCCCGTTGCTGTAGTTATCTCCGCAGGAACAGCTGGAGGTCATCGACCCAGACCTCAAAGTCATCAGCACAACCCTCAGCATCAAAGGTAAGGAAACTGGGGGTAGCCATGACAGCAGTGGCCTAGCAGGGAGTGACCTCACCAGTCCGAGTAAGTAGGGCCGGGGCGCGCCGGTAGGAACAGTAGCGGCTCGACGGTAGGGCGGCTCGGCGGCTCGGCTGTTGGGCGGCTTGGCGGCTTGACTGTTGGGCGGCTCGGCTGTTGGGCGGCTCGGCGGCTCGGTTGCTGGGCGGGTCGGCGGCTCGGCTGTTGGGCGGCTCAGCTGCTGGGCGGCTCGGTAGAGGCGGCGACGGGGCCGGTAGAGGCGGCGACGGGGCCGGCAGAGGCGGCGATGGGGCCGCTAGGGGCGGCGACGGGGCCGCGTAGGGAGGGGAGCGGCGACGGGGCCGCTAGGGGCGGCTACGAGGCCGCGTAGGGGCGGCGTCAGGGCCGCGTAGGGGCAGCGACGAGGCCACGTAGTGGCGGCGACGGGGCCGCGTAGGGAGGGGAGCGGCGACGGGGCCGCTAGGGGCGGCGACAAGGCCACGTAGGGGCGGCGACGGGGCCGCGTAGGGGCGGCGACGAGGCCGCGTAGTGGCGGCGACGGGGCCGCATAGGAAGGGGAGCGGCGACGGGGCCGCTAGGGGCGGCGACGGGGCCGCGTAGGGGCGGCGACGGGGCCGCTAGGGGCGGCGACGGGGCCGCGTATGGGCGGCGACGGGGTTGCGTAGGGAGAGAAGCGGCGACGAGGCCGCTAGGGGCGGTGACGGGGCCGCTAGGGGCGGCGATAGGGCCGTGTAGGGGCGGCGACGAGGCCGCTAGGGGCCGCGAGGGACCTGGAAGGGAGGCGAACAAGGCGCGCCTCGGGCAGGAGCGATTGACGCTCCGGTCAGAAAAAAATTTCAGTGGTGGGCCCAAGGAAGCGTTCCCACTAGGGAACCTGCTCTATACCATGTGAAGAAATGAGGAATGAATGAACTAGCACAAGGTTGGGTACAAGTAGGAAACCCTAGGAAACTGTATCCCATAGTGTCTACCCCACTATAGCCTAGACAAGCTATATGATATAAGTTTGACATTCATTCCTCGTTCTTTCACACGATCATCAGCGACACGGACCCAAAGTTCACGTCGAAATTCTAAAAGGAGACGTGGGTGCAGTACGGCACGAAGCTACAGTTCTCATCGGCATACCACCCGCAAACGGACGGCCAGACCGAGCGCACCAATCAGACTATGGAGCAACTGATCAGGAAAAACTGCCTCGACCCCACTCGCTGGGAAAACTCGCTCGCATGCTGGAGTTCGCGTTCAACAACGCCCCGTCTAGCACAACTAATCACTCCCCGTTCTTCTTAAATTATGGGATAGACCAGACGGTTCCCACGACGACTACACTCGACAACTCGGTCCCGCGGTCACAAACATTTGTGACACAACTGCACGAAGTTCGTGAAAGGCTGCGGACGCAATCCGCTAGGCGAATACCACTTCCCGCAAATACACCGACCTTCTACGACGAGAACTCGTCCTAGCAGCTGGGCAACTAGTGCTACTTGACACGAAAAACCTGCACATGCCTGGCCCGTCGAAGTTACGGCCACGCTTTTGTGGGCCTTTCAAAATCATCAAGATGGTGACACCTGTCACCGCGAAGCTGCTACTACCCGACGATTGGCGTATACATGACGCCTTCCATGTTAGCCTCCTTAACAAGTTCGTACCTGCCACGACAGACATCGCGCGCCAGAACGCTGCCCCGACAGCCCGACCTGTCCTGGAACTGACACTTGACCCGTCCAAGATTTTGGCGCATCGTGGATTTTCTAATCTGTTGGACTGACCGCACCAGTGAGGACGATACCTGGGTGCCATCCGCATCGCTTGAAGCTTCTCCGCTTCTTAGTGATTACCTCGTCCGCAAGTGAGCTACGGATATTGACCACCTTTCTTAAAAGGGGGGGTGGTGTAAGGAAAAACCTTTTCCTTACTGGGGTTTACTCAACCGCGGACAACCCCAACTTTCGGAAGTGCACGTTCGGCCATTTTGCTTGCTGCCGAAGCAACCTCGCGTCGCCTTCGGCTTTCCTTTGCCCAACCTGCACCCAACCCCGTGTTCCCGAGGTCCCCGCCTAGCTAGGTTGACCCACTATATTAGCGCGTGCCTTCATTGTATTGTCAGTTCATTGAGTCACATCTTCGTTATTCGTTATTCCGCGCACTCTCTTTCACAACTCATAACAATTTCTATCCTCGTATTTGACATTCTTCAGTACATTCCGTACCGTAGTTCCCACCTTCCATCTCCGGTCGTTTCGTGTTTATAACAGGACTCACAACTTCACCCCGCCCACAGATGAACCTCCAATAGCAGTGATAGTCTCGACTTCAGAGTACAAGCACCGCCACCACCTTTGTCCTCTCGCACCACGACGCCGCGCCTGCCTTCGCCTGAGATCCGCCCTATCCGTCCATATGGCGTCCACCGAAGCCCATCTCTCTCCGCCCATTCTCCCCGCTTCCCCGCAGTTGCCTCCCGCAGCGCACTTCCCCTCCCCCTCTTCATTCGCCCCTCCGTTGCCCTCCTCATCTCCGCCATTTCTTCCGCCCCCCGCGTCCCCATACGCGGAGGGATTTTGCTTGGCGTGGCAGCACCCGCACGCCTCGCTTATATCGCGGACATGGTTCGCTTTAGTCAACGTTGCGCCGCCGCTCCTCTTCCTGCTCTTCCTCCTCTCCCGCGTCCGCCCCGCGCTGGCGCAGCTGCGGCGCGCGCGCAGCGCGGGCATGATGGGCGGGCAGTGCGCCGTGATGGCGGGATTCTACGCGCTGCTGTGGGCCGCCGCGGGAACGAACCTCGTGCGCAGCCTGGCGCAGGTGAGGCGCGGAATGGCGCAGGTGAGGCGTGGAATGGCGCAGGTGAGGCGGAACGGCGCAGGTGAGGCGCGGAATGGCGCAGGTGAGGCATGGAACGGCGCAGGTGAGGCGTGGAATGCCGTTGATGTGAGGGGCGGCCTGGGGAGGGTGGTGGGGGTCAGCTCGGCGGGAGGTGGAGATAAGAGTAGGGAGGTGGGGAATAAGGATGTCCGCGGACCAGCTGGCACTGCGCCAGGCAGCACTGCGCCAGGCAGCACGGTCAGAGCACTTTGCCAGCGCTGATGCCTTGGATAGCAGGTTGCAGCCGTGCTTTGAGGGGTCATCTTCTGCTCCCTCCCCTCATCACCTCATCCCTCTGCATGCTGTGGCTAGTCCATCTCGCTGCTTGCCGTCTCTCTCTCATTCGCCTGCTCGCCCGGCTGGCCGTCTTACACATGAAATCTTCCTTTTCAAACGGTCGAGAGCATGAGAAGCTTTGAAGGGAATGGCATGGAACACCAATAGTGGGCGGAGTATTCAACTCAAGCCCCTCGCTGTAAAAACACACCAACTTACGATGCTTGCTTGGTAGCATCAGCATGGCTCGGAGTTGGCCGGCTCGGTCGAAGCTGTGATGCGCAGGCAGGTGGACGGCTGCGACACAGCTGGGCGAGCAAGGCACTTCACTCTGAATCAACGCGTTTTGCAGGTGGACGGCATGCGCGTTTTGCAGGTGGACGGCATGCGCGTTTTGCAGGTGGACGGCATGCGCGTTTTGCAGGTGGACGGCTGCGACGAGCTGAAAGGGGCTCGGCTTGGGTCGACGAGACGAGCCTGGATGAGGAAGAAGTTGGGCTCGGCTTGCCACTGTGACGAGCGCAGGTGAGGAGCCGAGCCAATGGCTTGTAACCAGTGGCTGGGCATGTTGGTCTCGACAGAGTGTGAAGGGCTGCAAGGTTGAGTGTGTCATCACAGCCCTACCGGAAACGTGAACCGTGATTCGTGAACCAGACTCTGCCGTGCGTGCTCCATTGCAAAATGGTGCGTGATCACAATCCATCATCAGAGAAGGTGCACACTGGTGACTGGACCCCCACTGCACACTGGTGACTGCACCCCCACTGCACACTGGTGACTGCACCCCCACTGCACACTGGTGACTGCACCCCCACTGCACACTGGTGACTGGACCCCCACTGCACACTGGTGACTGCACCCCCACTGCACACTGGTGACTGGACCCCCACTGCACACTGGTGACTGGACCCCCACTGCACACTGGTGACTGGACCCCCACTGCACACTGGTGACTGCACCCCCACTGCACACTGGTGACTGGACCCCCACTGCACACTGGTGACTGGACCCCCACTGCACACTGGTGACTGGACCCCCACTGCACACTGGTGACTGGACCCCCACTGCACACTGGTGACTGGACCCCCACTGCACACTGGTGACTGGACCCCCACTGCACACTGGTGACTGGACCCCCACTGCACACTGGTGACTGGACCCCCACTGCACACTGGTGACTGGACCCCCACTGCACACTGGTGACTGCACCCCCACTGCACACTGGTGACTGGACCCCCACTGCACACTGGTGACTGCACCCCCACTGCACACTGGTGACTGGACCCCCACTGCACACTGGTGACTGCACCCCCACTGCACACTGGTGACTGGACCCCCACTGCACACTGGTGACTGCACCCCCACTGCACACTGGTGACTGGACCCCCACTGCACACTGGTGACTGCACCCCCACTGCACACTGGTGACTGGACCCCCACTGCACACTGGTGACTGGACCCCCACTGCACACTGGTGACTGGACCCCCACTGCACACTGGTGACTGGACCCCCACTGCACACTGGTGACTGGACCCCCACTGCACACTGGTGACTGGACCCCCACTGCACACTGGTGACTGGACCCCCACTGCACACTGGTGACTGGACCCCCACTGCACACTGGTGACTGGACCCCCACTGCACACTGGTGACTGGACCCCCACTGCACACTGGTGACTGCACCCCCACTGCACACTGGTGACTGGACCCCCACTGCACACTGGTGACTGCACCCCCACTGCACACTGGTGACTGGACCCCCACTGCACACTGGTGACTGCACCCCCACTGCACACTGGTGACTGGACCCCCACTGCACACTGGTGACTGCACCCCCACTGCACACTGGTGACTGGACCCCCACTGCACACTGGTGACTGCACCCCCACTGCACACTGGTGACTGGACCCCCACTGCACACTGGTGACTGGACCCCCACTGCACACTGGTGACTGCACCCCCACTGCACACTGGTGACTGCACCCCCACTGCACACTGGTGACTGCACCCCCACTGCACACTGGTGACTGCACCCCCACTGCACACTGGTGACTGGACCCCCACTGCACACTGGTGACTGCACCCCCACTGCACACTGGTGACTGGACCCCCACTGCACACTGGTGACTGGACCCCCACTGCACACTGGTGACTGCACCCCCACTGCACACTGGTGACTGCACCCCCACTGCACACTGGTGACTGCACCCCCACTGCACACTGGTGACTGGACCCCCACTGCACACTGGTGACTGGACCCCCACTGCACACTGGTGACTGGACCCCCACTGCACACTGGTGACTGGACCCCCACTGCACACTGGTGACTGGACCCCCACTGCACACTGGTGACTGGACCCCCACTGCACACTGGTGACTGGACCCCCACTGCACACTGGTGACTGCACCCCCACTGCACACTGGTGACTGGACCCCCACTGCACACTGGTGACTGCACCCCCACTGCACACTGGTGACTGGACCCCCACTGCACACTGGTGACTGCACCCCCACTGCACACTGGTGACTGGACCCCCACTGCACACTGGTGACTGCACCCCCACTGCACACTGGTGACTGGACCCCCACTGCACACTGGTGACTGCACCCCCACTGCACACTGGTGAGTGGACCCCCACTGCACACTGGTGACTGGACCCCCACTGCACACTGGTGACTGCACCCCCACTGCACACTGGTGACTGCACCCCCACTGCACACTGGTGACTGCACCCCCACTGCACACTGGTGACTGCACCCCCACTGCACACTGGTGACTGGACCCCCACTGCACACTGGTGACTGCACCCCCACTGCACACTGGTGACTGGACCCCCACTGCACACTGGTGACTGGACCCCCACTGCACACTGGTGACTGCACCCCCACTGCACACTGGTGACTGCACCCCCACTGCACACTGGTGACTGCACCCCCACTGCACACTGGTGACTGGACCCCCACTGCACACTGGTGACTGCACCCCCAGTGAGGGTACTACATTGCACACTGGTGACTGCACACTGGACCCCCACTGCACACTACATTGTGGAAGCTCCTGTGCAGCTCCTGTGCAGCTCCTGTGCAGCTCCTGTGCAGCTCCTGTGCAGCTCCTGTGCAGCTCCTGTGCAGCTCCTGTGCAGCTCCTGTGCAGCTCCTGTGCAGCTCCTGTGCAGCTCCTGTGCAGCTCCTGTGCAGCTCCTGTGCAGCTCCTGTGCAGCTCCTGTGCAGCTCCTGTGCAGCTCCTGTGCAGCTCCTGTGCAGCTCCTGTGCAGCTCCTGTGCAGCTCCTGTGCAGCTCCTGTGCAGCTCCTGTGCAGCTCCTGTGCAGCTCCTGTGCAGCTCCTGTGCAGCTCCTGTGCAGCTCCTGTGCAGCTCCTGTGCAGCTCCTGTGCAGCTCCTGTGCAGCTCCTGTGCAGCTCCTGTGCAGCTCCTGTGCAGCTCCTGTGCAGCTCCTGTGCAGCTCCTGTGCAGCTCCTGTGCAGCTCCTGTGCAGCTCCTGTGCAGCTCCTGTGCAGCTCCTGTGCAGCTCCTGTGCAGCTCCTGTGCAGCTCCTGTGCAGCTCCTGTGCAGCTCCTGTGCAGCTCCTGTGCAGCTCCTGTGCAGCTCCTGTGCAGCTCCTGTGCAGCTCCTGTGCAGCTCCTGTGCAGCTCCTGTGCAGCTCCTGTGCAGCTCCTGTGCAGCTCCTGTGCAGCTCCTGTGCAGCTCCTGTGCAGCTCCTGTGCAGCTCCTGTGCAGCTCCTGTGCAGCTCCTGTGCAGCTCCTGTGCAGCTCCTGTGCAGCTCCTGTGCAGCTCCTGTGCAGCTCCTGTGCAGCTCCTGTGCAGCTCCTGTGCAGCTCCTGTGCAGCTCCTGTGCAGCTCCTGTGCAGCTCCTGTGCAGCGAGAATGCAATAACTCAGATGCCCTTGATCATGGAGGCGTATGTGTTGGGGCTCACTGCAAGTGCATCCGTCAAAACCAAAGAGGTATTGTCTATTGTCGTACCTCGTCCATTGTCGACGAGAATTCGCGTCTCTGTTGCGTTGCTGTGGCACTGCGTTCATCCCGACGACTGACTCGCTCCCAGCTTGTGAAACTTCCAGGTTCTCACTTGCAGCTGCCAGTTCGGGGTGATCTATAGCTCGTACACGCCAGGTACCAGGCACACCACATGAGCACGAAACGGAGCCGTGGTTTTGTTTGAGGTGCTTCGGTTACATAACTGTGCATGGGTACACAAGTGTAGTGAGTCATGACAACAAATGTAGTGAGTATTATCAACAGACCTGAAGCGGAGTTGTTGTGGTGAAGTGGTGGTCCGATACAACGTGGACGAGGGACTAGATACACGTGGAGGAGGGACTATATACGAGGTTGTAGCTGCAACGCAATGGAAGCAAGAGCAATGCGATCCGACTGTATCTTGTCAGTTTTGAACCCTGGGGAAACTGAGACAGCTGCTGGTTCACACAGTCATGGCGGAGTGACACAGTCATGGCGGAGTGACACAGTCATGGCGGAGTGACACAGTCATGGCGGAGTGACACAGTCATGGCGGAGGGACACAGTCATGGCGGAGTGACACAGTCATGGCGGAGTGACACAGTCATGGCGGAGTGACACAGTCATGGCGGAGTGACACAGTCATGGCGGAGTGACACAGTCATGGCGGAGACAGTGTGTGAACCAGGAGGTTCAATGAACCAAGGACCTGCGTGGCAAGCTGCCACTCACCTGCACCGAGAACGGCACCCGATGAGCTGAGCTGCCGGATTGGCTGCGTGCTCGCTTGCCTTTTCACATAAAAATCACCCCACCTGCATCCTCCTCACAAACACCATGTACCCCCACGTTCTCCGTGCTCACCCTCTTACGTTCCCTCTCGCTGCCTCTCCCCGCCCAGCTGCTGCTGCTCTCACCAGATGAGGCTGCTGCGCCGGCCACCAGCAGCGCATGGCTGAGCGGGGCGTGGCTGGCGGCGGGGTGGGTGGTGGGGGCGCTGGAGGCGGGCGTGCTGCTCTTCCTCATGCACGGCGTCCGCATGTCCGCCTCCGAGGCCATGCTGCGCACCGCTGTCATCGCTGCCATCCTCGCTGGCGCTGACGCGGCAGTCAAGGTGAGGCGTTGAAGCACCAGCATGGCCCGCATGGCCAACTATGTACCTCTGCCACTGCAGTCCTGCCCTCCCCCGCTGCCGTCCCCCAACGCCCTCCTCCCATGCACTGTGCACAGAGCCGCCTGCCCATACTCCCCTTTGCATGCCTCTCCCCTTCCTCTCTCTCGTTCCCTCCCTTCTCATTATTGCACCCCTCTTCCTCTCTTCCTCTCTGCGCCCTGCCACCACACCCTCGTGCCACCGCCACACCCCCCGCCCGTGCCCCGCTGCGTGCGCCATGGCCAGGCGTCGCTGGTGTTCCACCACGCGCTGCCGCTCTTCCAACCACGCCCTGCCGTCGCCACGGCGGGCGCCGTGTGGCTCTTCTGGCTCGCCCACGACGCCCTCCGCGCCGCTGTCTACGCCGCCCTGCTCTCCCTGCCACTCTCCCAGTGGCGCGACGCCCTCCCTGGTGGGTGGCATTCGCTGTCTTATTATAATGCTGCAGTAGCCGGGGAGAGAGAGGCGGGTGGGTGCAAGGGTGCGGGGAGAGCGAGAGTGGTGAAGGAAGCATGGAGATGTGTGCGAGGGTGAGAGAGTTGGTGTGGTTGATCGTCAACAGTCGTGCCACCCTTGACGCTCACGGCATGCACTCACGGCATGCACTCACGGCATGCACTCACACCATGCACTCACGCCATGCACTTACGGCATGCACTCACGCCATGCACTCACGCCATGCACTCACGCCATGCACTCACACCATGCACTCACGCCATGCACTCACGCCATGCACTCACGCCATGCACTCACGACATGCACTCACGCCATGCACTCACACCATGCACTCACGCCATGCACTCACGCCATGCACTCACGGCATGCACTCACGCCATGCACTCACGCCATGCACTCATGCCATGCACTCACGCCATGCACTCACGCCATGCACTCACGCCATGCACTCACGGCATGCACTCACGCCATGCACTCACGCCATGCACTCACGCCATGCACTCACGCCATGCACTCACGCCATGCACTCACGGCATGCACTCACGCCATGCACTCACGCCATGCACTCACGCCATGCACTCACGCCATGCACTCACGGCATGCACTCACGCCATGCACTCACGCCATGCACTCATGCCATGCACTCACGCCATGCACTCACGCCATGCACTCACGCCATGCACTCACGGCATGCACTCACGCCATGCACTCACGGCATGCACTCACGCCATGCACTCACGCCATGCACTCATGCCATGCACTCACGGCATGCACTCACGCCATGCACTCACGGCATGCACTCACGCCATGCACTCACGGCATGCACTCACGCCATGCACTCACGCCATGCACTCACGCCATGCACTCACGCCATGCACTCACGCCATGCACTCACGCCATGCACTCACGCCATGCACTCACGCCATGCACTCACGGCATGCACTCACGGCATGCACTCACGCCATGCACTCACGCCATGCACTCACGCCATGCACTCACGCCATGCACTCACGCCATGCACTCACGCCATGCACTCACGGCATGCACTCACGCCATGCACTCACGCCATGCACTCACGCCATGCACTCACGGCATGCACTCACGGCATGCACTCACGGCATGCACTCACGGCATGCACTCACGGCATGCACTCACGGCATGCACTCACGGCATGCACTCACGCCATGCACTCACGCCATGCACTCACGCCATGCACTCACGCCATGCACTCACGCCATGCACTCACGCCATGCACTCACGCCATGCACTCATGCCATGCACTCACGGCATGCACTCATGGCAGGCACTCACGGCATGCACTCACGGCATGCACTCACGCCATGCACTCACGGCATGCACTCATGACTTGCACGCCTCAACTCTCCTCACCCTGCCGGCCCGTCCACTGGCTGTGAGCAGCGCGCCCCGCCTTCCACCGCTACCTGCTGCTGCTGCTGCTGCTGCACTCTGCCTCTGCCTTCGCCTCTCTCCTCCTCACCCTCCACGTGCCCGCCGCCCTCTGGTCAGTACATGTACTCTGTTCTTCTCACCCTGCACTTTTCTCCTTGCACTATTCATGGCATTTGTTTCTTGGATAGTTGTTTGAGTGGCATTTGTTTCTTAAATAGTTGTTTGAGTGGCATTTGTTTCTTGAATAGTTGTTTGAGTGGCATTTGTTTCTTGAATAATTGTTTAAATGCCGCCAAAAACACGCCTTCATGAGCATCGATGGGTCTGCATGCGCATGCATGGATGTGCATTGGTATGCATGCATGGATTTGCATGGGAATGGATGGGTATGCATGGGTGCTGCTGTGCCTCCTATCCAGCATGCGAGGGCTGGCAGTGTGTGTGTACTGGGCGCTCTTCCCTCCGCTGCTCTACATCACCTTCCTTGCCGACTTCTTCCAGGTGCCCTCTCCCTCCACTTGCTTGCGTGCCCGCACCCATCCCTACACATATCCCTGCACCCATGCCTACACGCATGCCTGCACACGTGCATGCACACATGGCATTGGGCGGGCAATAAGCCGAGGCCTGTAGATTGAGCCACCACAGGGTGTGGTGCTTCATGTTGTTAACCTACTTGAGCGACGGCTGCACTGCTGACGTCAACAAGCTACTGTGCCACGCCATCGAGTTGCCCACTTGACTCCAATCCTTACCTCTCCCAATCGCCACTCCCATGCGTCTCTTCTTCGCCACAGCATGCCACACTCTGCTGCCTCTGCCGCCACCTGCACTCACCCACCTGCCTGCTAACTCGTTTCTTCCTCGTTCCCCTTGCCCTCCCCTTCTCCTCAACGCCCCTCATAGGACGAGGACACAGAGATGGAGGATGCATACTACTCGGAGATGAGGGATGCAGGGGTCTTTGATGCCGATGGGAACTGGGACTGACCGTCTGCCCATGCTCCCATGTGAAGCGCCTCCGAGTCATGTGCGTGCTCCACATCTGCTCGGCATGCCTCCTGATGTCCCACCAAAGTGATTTATTCGTGTATAATGTAAAGTCTCCGCCTTTTTTTTTTGGGTTGCGGAGCAACCTATTGCAATCGAATGGACCTATTTTTTTTTCACTATTTTTTTAATAACCTAAAACACGGTTAAATAAAAAGAAGAAAACTTCGAACAAAGTTTGTTGGGCTGAGAATTTCAGCCTTAGGATCTTTGCAGAGAATAGGCTAGTAGGTGCTAGAGTAGCACAACGGAAGACTTGAGTGAATATACTTGTGCTGGTGTGTGAGAACAAGTAATTGATTAAAGCAAAGAGCATACAAGAATATATAGGAAAGATAGATTACAGGAAGCGGTTGTGTTTATCGAGACGCCTAACGCTTCGACTATCGAGGCGGTTACTGTTCACTGAAGCGTCGCTTGCTGTTACGTAACCTCCAGGCGGTTATGGCTCGCAACCTCCAGTTGCGGTTTGATGTGGTACGCGCCCTTTCGACTTCGTACCCCTTTTGTTGTGCTTCAGTATCGGGTGAGGTTCGATACTACAGAAACGCACTAAGTCATGCGTTTATATTCCCAACACTCCCCTTCGTTTCTGGAGTGTCGACGTGGTCAGCTTCGGTGACGTGGCCCAATCCGGTAAGCAGCATGCAGTACTCGAATTTCCCCTTTGGTAACTTCTTGGTGAGATAATCTGCTGCCATCTCGGTGGTCGGGCAGTAGTCCAGCTGGAGTTTTCCTTTCTCGATTTCGTCTTTCACGAAGAAGTATCGCATTGCGATATGTTTGGTTCTGTTGGCGAAACCGTTCTTGTTCGCGATGCGTATCGCGGACTGGTTGTCGCAGAAAAGCGAGAAGTTGGGTACCTTCGCAATTTTCGCTTCTTCCAGCAGTTCGCGCAGGTACAGACCTTCCTTGGTGGCGGTGCAGAGAGCAATATACTCTGCTTCAGCAGATGATAGTGCGACGAGTTCCTGCTTACTCGATTGCCAGGAGATAGTTCCGATGGGCTCGAGACGGTAGACGTAGCCGGTGCGAGAGCGACGATCGACACGATCAGCAGCGTGATCAGCGTCGACGTAACCGAGTAGTTTTAGATCGGTCGTCGTGCTCTTGTGATATGTTAGGCCAACTGTTGGCGTCGAGATGAAGTAGAGAAGGGCTCGGTTGAGCTCCTTGAGGTGACGTTGTTCTGGGCGTTTAAGGTGTCAAATTATAATATTGTGTAGGCTATAGTGGGGTAGCCCATATGGGGTACAGATTTCTAGGGTTGCATATTTGTATCACTTCCATTCCTTAGTCATTCATTCTCGTTCTACTTTTCTCATGGTATCGAGCAGGTTCCCCCTTGGGAACTGTGCCTAGGGCCCACCACATCGAGTTTCAAATTTTTTTTTTCTCTCCTGCCCAAAGCGCGCTCCGCCCGAGTCGCGCTCCGGGCTCTCACCTCGCCGAGCCGCCCTAGCGGCCCCCTACGCCCTAGCGGCCCCTTCCCCTAGCGGCCCCGCCGCCCTTCGTTTCGGCCCCGCCGCCCTTTAGTGCGGCCCCGCCGCCCGTCACAGCGGCCCCGTCGCCCCGCATCGCGGCCCCGCCGCCCGTCTCTGCGGCCTCGCCGCCCGTGGCTGCGGCCCCGCCCCTACTCAGCGGCCCCGCCGCCCTTCTCCTCAGCGGCCCCGCCGCCCTTCTCAGCGGCCCCGCCGCCCTACTCAGCGGCCCCGCCGCCCTTCTCCTCAGCGGCCCCGCCGCCCTACTCAGCGGCCCCGCCGCCCTTCTCCTCAGCGGCCCCGCCGCCCTACTCAGCGGCCCCGCCGCCCTTCTCCTCAGCGGCCCCGCCGCCCTACTCAGCGGCCCCGCCGCCCTACTCAGCGGCCCCGCCGCCCTTCTCCTCAGCGGCCCCGCCGCCCTGCTCAGCGGCCCCGCCGCCCTACTCAGCGGCCCCGCCGCCCTTCCGCAGCGGCCTAGCCGCCCTTCTCAGCGGCCCAGCCGCCCCTCGCACCAGCGGCCCTGCCGCCCTACACCGCCCGCGCCGCCCGAGCCGCCCGAACCGCCCGAGCCTCCCGAGCTGCCCGACCTGCCCGAGCTGCCCGAGCCGCCCGAGCCGCCCGACTCTCCTGAGCCGCCCGAGCTGCCCGACCAGCCCGAGCCGCCCGAGCCGCCCGAGCCGCCTGAGCCACCCGAGCCGCCTGAGCCGCCCGAGCCGCCTGAGGAGCCGAGCCGCTGGTGCCACGGAGCCACAGTTGCTGCAGTGCCGTCCGAGCAGCCGTGTTGCCGTGCTGCTGTACCGCTGAGCTGCCCGACCCGCCCTGCCTGGTGAGAGCAGCGCTTCTGTCACTGCATTGCCCCTGTCCTACAGTTGGTACTGCTAGTCCACTGTTGTCATGGCTACCCCCAGTGTTCTCGCTTTTGACGCTGGGGGTCGAGCCATTGACTTTGAGGTTTGGGTGGATGACCTGCAGCTTTTCCTACAGTGCGATAGGGCAGACGGTCTTTCCCTCTTTGACCTCACCTCTGGTGCTTCCCCTGCCCCTGCTGCCGATGCCGACGCCACTGTTCGCTCCCAGTGGGCCACTCGCGATGCTGCTGCACGTCTTGCTGTGCGTCGCCACCTGCCTACCACTGAGCGCGCGCACTTTAGCCAGTACAAGAGTGCTCAGACCTTGTACGACGCTGTCGTTGCACGCTACTCCTCCCCTGCCACTGCTGCACTGAGCCGCCTCATGCTACCGTACCTCTTTCCTGACCTTGCTGCCTTTCCCACAGTCGCTGACCTCATTACGCACCTCCGCACTAGTGACACTCGCTACCGCGCCGCGCTTCCTGCTGAGTTCTGCGCCAAGAACCCCCGCCCCATGTACATCACTCTCTATTATATAGTCACCCGCCTCCCTGACTCCCTTCGTGTAGTCAGGGACCACTTCCTCTCAGTCTGTCCCACCACTCTCACTGTTGACCTCCTAGAGAAGGCCCTCCTAGCGGCGGAGAAGAGCATAGTCGCTGTAGGAGCCTCTCGTGGTGACCCTCGCACCCCCATCTTTGAGGGGTGTTCCCCTTCCCCCCTGTTGCCCTCTGTCGCCTCTACTGCTGCGGCCGACCTCGTTGGTCTTGAGTCGGTCGGTGCGGCGTCTGCCCCTAGCGGGAGACACCGCTCTGGTAAGGGCAAGGGGGGCAAGGGCGCGGGTGGGGCTAGCGGGGGTGGTGGAGGTGGCGGTGGAGGCGGCGGGGGGAGTGGGGGTGGCGGTGGGGGTGGTGGCGGGGGTGGAGGTGGTGGTGGCAGCGGCGGAGGCGGAGGCGGCGGTGGCGGTAGCGGTGGGAGCGGAGGCGGCGGTGGCGGCGGAGGTGGAGGCGGCGGTGGTGGAGAAGGTGGAGCTGGTCGGGGTGGTTCTTCTCAGCGGAGCGGCTCCGGGAGTGGTCAGCGCCAGCAGCAGCAGCAGCAGCAGCGTTCTCGGGACATCCCCCCTCCTCAGCAGCTCCGTGAGTGGTACACGCAGTGTCAGCGTGGTGGGGGTTTTGGCCCGTGCACCTACGTCCTTCGCTCCGGCGACCGCGCGGGTGAGCAGTGTGGGGGTGCTCACCCCACCTAGCGCTGCTTTGGCTGCCTGACGGACGCTTGGCGTCAGCAGTTCCCGGAGGCTAGTGAGATCCCCCGCTGGGGAGAGCTGTCTAGGGCAGGCGTAGCTATCTTTGATCTTGACTTTGATGCTATCCTTGCTGCCATGTATGCTGTGACTATTAGTGATGAGGGTGACTGTTACCGGTGTTTCCCGCCCGACCCGGGCATTGAACTGCTACTCTAGGTACTGGTGAGGCTGCTGCTCTAGGTGCCAGTGCGTTCGCGCCCTCAGGTGCTGGTGAGTCTGCGCTCTCAGGTACCACGTCGGCTTCGGCCTCCCTCACCTTCACACTTGACTCAGGGGCTTCTCGCTAATTCTTTCGAGACCGCACCACACTCACGCCGCTTGGTCGGCCAGTTGCAGTCTCCCTGGCAGACCCCTCTGGGGGTCCTGTCCTCTCTCACTTCTCCACTGTCCTCACGTGTCCGGCTGCCCCCTCTGGCACCTTGTCTGGTCTTTACCTCCCCTCGTTCTCTTCGAACTTGGTGAGTGGTGCTGACCTGCAGGATACGGGGGTTCACCAGTTCACTCCTGCGAGTCAGCGGGTGACCCACTGCACGGACGCTCGGACAGGCCGACACCTGGCCACGTTTACACGTCGGCCGGGGTCGAGCCTGTACACACTGACCACTGAGTCTCCTCCAGTCACTGCGTCTGGTCAGGTAGCTGCGTCGGGTCAGGTGTTTGCTGCAGCGTCCAGGTCTGGTCTTGAGTCTGCCCCCTGCTCGTGTCGCCTCCTGTCTCACGAGACTGTCCTCTGGCACCACCGTCTTGGTCACCCCTCCCAGCCTCGTCTCCGAGGCATGGCTTCCCGTGTCCTTGTCTCTGGTCTTCCCCGGTCCC